CCGATTGTGAATATAGTTGGTTCGATTGTGAATATAGTTGGTTTGATTGTGCATATTGTGGTCGATTGTGAATATAGTTGGTTCGATTGTGCATATTGTGGTCGATTGTGAATATAGTTGGTTCGATTGTGCATATTGTGGTCGATTGTGGATATAGTTGGTTCGATTGTGAATATAGTTGGTTCGATTGTGCATATTGTGGTCGATTGTGAATATAGTTGGTTCGATTGTGCATATTGTGGTCGATTATGAATTTTGGTGAATATTGTGGTCGATTATGAATTTTGGTGAATATTGTGCTCGATTATGAAATTTGGTTAATATTGTGTTGGATTATGAATTTTGATGAATATTGTGGTCGATTACGAATTTGGGTGAATATTGTGATCAATTAGTTATCGAACAAACACGAACATGTTCGCAAACTAATTGAGCGTTCGCGAACAAAATAAATATATAAATATGAATATATATTAAATATTAAATAAAATAACGTGTACGGCATTAAAATAAAATAAAAACGTTGACAAACATATTGGTGGAAATGAAAATTGTGCTCTCCCGTGTTGGTTGACTATAGGGTTACGATAATAAAATCGAAGAATAGGTGGACACGAAAATTTAATACAATTCTAATTTCAAATCATCGTTAGGAATATTATAATTATAAAGGATTAATGAGTACTTTTAATTTCCAAAATAACAACAAAAATTATAAATTAAATACATGTGCGCCGATCACGATTATATCTCACAAAAGAACAAAAATTAAAAATTGCATTTTTGCAGAAAAAAAATCAAAAGAACAAAAACTAAATATATCTCACAAAAATAAAATATCGGTCATTTTTGCAGAAAATGGCATCGTCATCCTCGAACCCTAAACCCTACACCCCACACCCCGACTCCAATGACCCGTCACTTCTATATCTTCAAAACCGCCACCGGTCCAAGGCGGTATATGAGAACGCACTGGGGTTTCGCCACGGCGTGGTTAAGCCACGCCGTGCGGACACCCAGTTCTGGGCTGCCTTGGAGGACAACAAGCAGAATGTCCGGACCTGGGAGGTGATCGACAAGGCCGGCTTCGGGCCTGTGTTTCGAATGGGGCGGGTCCCGACAAGCAACGGCCTCATTACATGCCTGCTGGAGAGGTGGCGTCCGGAGACGCACACCTTCCACTTCGACTTTGGGGAGGCCACGATCACTCTCCAGGACGTTCAGATACTGTTTGGCCTCCCCGTCAGTGGGGAACCGTGCTGGGGACATACCATACAGAGGACTCCCCAAGAGTGGAGAGCCGTTTGCGCGGACGCTCTAGGGTACCTCCCATATGTACAGGTATATTTTTACCTAAAACTTTTATTTGCTTATTTTTTTTTTATTGTGTTTATGTATAGTTAAGTCATGAGTCGTTTTTAATATATGTAAACGTATTTCAAGAATGTCGGGGACAAGGACTACGACCCCAAGACTTTGGACATTTCAGGCCAGTTCCTGTTTTTCAGTAGTCTAGAAGAGGAGTGCAAGCGACAATTGGAGGATGGACTCCCTGCATCAGAGTACGAGGGGAGGGCGAAAGCCCTCATACTCTGGTGTATTGGGTCCTTCTTCTTCCCCTCTCATCGGGCCAACGGAGTTAACCTCTACTGGCTGTCCCTATTGAATGTCATTGATAACATTCCGGGGTACAGCTGGGGTGGAGCGCTTCTGGCCGGGGTATATAGAGCGCTCTGCGAAGCTTACGAGAGGGAAGAAGAATATATCAAGAGCTTCGTGCAGTTGATTCAGGTAAATTTATTTACTTGTTAATTGTATATTAATTTTATTTATTATAAATTACAATAATATGTGGTAAAAAATGTATATGTCCATATGCGCAGGTTTGGGCATGGGAACGCATCCCTCATGTTCGCCCAATCATGAAAAAAACGCATTTCGGCTCTCAGCCTGGTTGTCCTTTGGGTGCAAGGTAATAATACCCCATTTATTTATATTCAAATCTTAAGTTATTTCAATTATCAAATTTTTTCATTACAAATATTTTTTTCCTGTGATTTTTAAGGTGGGTGGGATCGAGGGACATGAGGCACCTCGGGACGGGCACGGCTACCATCCGAGATCAGCTGAGTGGCCTGAGAGACACTGATGTAAGTTTCTTAGGTCACAATAATAAATAATTGTTATTTTTTTAATTCTATTTTTTTATTACATTCATTAATAATTCTATAAATGTTTTTTTTTTACAGTTCGATTGGGTACCCTATCAGACGTACGTAGACGAGGGTCGGCTCCCGGACCAGTATACACGAGACCGACATCTCTGGATGTACAAGGGGTGGATCTTCTGCTGGAACATCGCAAAACCCCACCAGCCTGATAGGGTGCTCCGCCAGTTTCGGTGCCACCAGCCAATCCCCCAGACGCCGATCATTGCTAATCTGGCCGACTGGGACACCCGCCACAGAGGCCAGGGCATGACCGGGAGGGCATATACCGATTGGCAGGCCTTCCATGCTGATCTTGGGAGGATCTGGACCGAAGAGAGAGATCAGAACGTCCTCCCAAACCATGCCAGCGTGTCAGACCGTGTTTTATCTACGTGTAATTTTCAATTTTCTCAGTCCGATTTATTAAAATACGTGGAAAAAAGATGCCAGGAGTATAAAAACCCGTTCCCCCCCTCCCCCCCAATTTCAAAAATTCCCAAATCAAATTAACCCTACTTCAAAGAAAAATCAATTTCGACAAAAAAAATCAAACCCTACAACTAAAATCTTGTCTCTGTATCAAGAATTCGTAGCAAAGTTGTCCCAATTGCATGCGAGTTTGTGTTTCTGCGTTCCAGATTTCTTGTCGTCCTGCGTTCGAGATTCCTTATATGTCGAGAAGATGAAAGACAGGTGCTTCGAATGTTTTCTATTCTATCTTTCTTTCTTCTGCAATTTTTATTTTGATATTTTGAGTGTCTGGTCTTATATTTAGGATTCAATTAGAAATTACATTTATTCTTGGAATGTAGTTATTTTTTTTGTGAAACTAGGGTTCTTTTTTCGGGAAATTATGGCTTTTCTGAACAATTACGGTTTTTTTTGGGAAACTAGGGTTTTTCTAAATAATTAGGTTTTTTAGGAGAAATTTGGGCTTCTTTGAACAATTTGGGCTTTTCCAAATAATTAGGTTTTTTGGGAGAAATTAGATCTTTTCTGAACAAATAGGGGTTTTTTGGGAAATTTAGAGTCTTATGCAATTCACTTGTTGCTATTATCTTATTTATTCAAATGTTTGCACTGTAGTGGAAAATTATCAATATTTGTAAACTATGGAGGCCAGTTCGTTAAATGTGGAACTTCTGTTGAGTACTTAGGTGGTAAATCCAAGACAGTTCATGGTTTAGATGTGGATAGGTTTGGGTATTTTGATTTAAAAGAAGAAGTTGAGAAGCTGGGGGTTGAAAAGTTTGAAAAACTTGTATACAGAATAACAAGGAACAGTGGAGCAGATAGCTTTAAAGATGTTGTTGATGATAGTGTAGTTATGGAGATGATTAGCCACGCTACTAAGGGAAGAACATTATTAGAGTTTATGTGGTTGGAGAAATTATAGAGGAAGATAACAGTGAAAATGAAGCTAGTGTTGAAAGTGCACAAAGGTCAGAGGAACAATTTGATGTTGATTCATATATAGATAATTTTTTTGATCCAAAGAATCCTAAAGATGGATTTAGAAGTTGAGTCACAGAAAGATGGTGATGTTAATTTCTCTGATCCAAAGAATCTTAATGATGAGGATTTATTACCTGAGTCATAGAAAGATGGTGATGTTAATTTATCTGATCCAAAGAATCCTAATGATGAGGATTTATTAGCTGAGTCACAGAAAGATGGTGATGTTAATTTCTCTGATCCAAAGAATCCTAATGATGAGGATTTATTAGCTGAGTCACAGAAAGATGGTGATGTTGATACAGAAGTGAGGAATAACCTAAAAACTCCACAGTTGCCTACTTCCAATGTGGGTGACTGTGAGGTTGGAAGTGGGTCTGGGGATGATAGTGAGGATGAAGACTATTTTCCTGTTGATGATAGCTCATCTGATGATGAACTTTCTGTTGATGATTTTGCTTCTGATGATGATGCTGAATATCTTGAGGCAAGACAGAATTTGAAGAAGCAAAAGGATATTAGAGGATGATGGAGAATGTGCAGACAACAGGAAGTCAAAGAAGGCCATTGAGATGGACAGTGAAGATTCTGGCTTTGTAGATTGTGCATTGGTTTCTGAAAGTGAGTGGGAAATGGATGATGATGGGAACTATATAGGTAGAAGGAAATGGTTACTTATGATTCAAAATGTGATCATAGTACTCTTGAGTTTATGTTAGGGATGAGATTCATAAGCATAGAGGAGTTGAAAAAAGCAGTAAGGAATGTAGCAATTATTCAAGGGAGGGACATAAAGTTTCTGAAAACTAGCAAAAAACAGTTGAGAGTGAAATGTGTTGATGGTTGCCCTTGGACCTTGTATGCAAGTGCAGTTATGAAAGAGGGTAGTGTAGCAATTAAACAGTTGAACAAGGAGCACAAATGCCATAGAAATGTCCACACCAGGCAAGTTACATCAGAGTGGATTGCTGAGGAGTTTGTTGACAAATTCAGAAAGAATCCAAACATGTCCATTACCCAAATGGAAGAAATAATATCTGAAAAGTTTGCAGTACAACCTACAAAGTGGAAGCTTTAAAGAGGAAAGTGGAGAGCTCTTGAGATGGTTAGAGGTTCAGTAATTGGCCATTATGCTTCTCTGAGAAGTTACATCGCTGAGTTGTTGAGGGTAGACAGAGATGGAAGGTTTGAGTTTCTTCTTCGTGAACAAAATACATTCAGAGGGTTCTATGTGGGATTTAGTGCACTGAGAAAGGGTTTCATTAGTGGTTGTAGGCTCATTTTAGGATTTGATGGGTGTTTCTTGAAGACTTTTATTGGTGGGGCTTTATTGTGTGCCACAGCAAATGATGGCAACAATCAAATATACCATGTGGCTTGGGCAGTTGTTGAGACAGAAAATGAGGAATGTTAAGGTGGTTTCTAGGTATTTTGTTTACTGATCTGGGAATTACTGATGGTCTTGGATATACTTTCATGTCAGACCAACAAAAAGTAAGTTCTGTCTCTAACATATATAAATTTTGTGAATTTATTCATAAATCAATTTTTCCACTTATTCATATCAGAATTTGTAAATTTTCAAATTTTATCCTTTTGCAGGGTCTTCTGAATGCATTGAGAGATTTGGCTCCACATGCTAAGCACAGAAACTGTGCAAGACATGTATATATGAATTGGAAGAAGAGTTTCAAAGGGCTCACGCTGAAAAGCATTTTTTGGAAGATTGTGCTCAGCGCTCACTTAGGGGACTACAACATATATTTGGAAGATTTGAAGTCAGAAGATCCAGATGCTTATGAAGATTTCATGGACAGAGATCCTACCAAATTCTGTAAGGCTTACATTTCTCCATTGTCTAGATGTGATATGATTGAGAACAATGTGAGTGAGACATTCAATGGAATGATTGTTAAGGGTAGAAGCAAACACATTATTGATATGCTTGAGTTTGTTAGAAGTGAGTTAATGAAAAGACAACATGACAAGTTGTTAGGACATAGTGGGTATACAGATAAGATTTGTCCTAGAATAAGAAAGAAGTTAGAGCACAACAAATACATGTCTAGGCTCTGTCTCACAAAGCCAGCTGTTGGTGAAATATTTGAGGTTGTGCATGAGGATGATCAGTTTGTTGTGAACTTGAAGAACAAGACATGTACTTGCAGATATTGGGATATTACAGGCATACCATGTGTACATGCATGTTCTGCAATAAATTTCCAACATCAGGATCCTGTAGAGTTTGTGTCTGAGTACTACTCAGTTGAAAGGTATCTGCAATTGTACAACTTGTCATTAGAACCCATAAATCGGAAGAAATTGTGGCCAGTTGCACATGATTATCCTATTCTTCCTCCTCCTTTTAAAAAGATGCCAGGAAGGCCAAAGAAGAAATGGAAGAGAGCACCTGAGGAGGAAATGAATTGTGGGACTAAGTTGAGGAGGTTTGGGTTGACTATGACTTTTGCCAAAGATGTTTTAAAAAAAGGCACAATAAGAAATCATGCTCTAATCCTCCAGTGGAGAAACAACCAAAGGTTATAAATTCTATTTCAAGTCTTATTATGATAAACATCAATTTGAAAAACAAATCATATCATGTTTTAATCTCTATTTTTTTGGTTAAGAAGAATGTTGGATTAGCCCAACAGTCATGCTCTAATCCTCCAGTGGAGAAACAACCAAAGGTTATAATTACTATTTCAAGTCTTATTATAATAAACATCAATTTGAAAAACAAATAAAATCATGTTTTAATCTCTATTTTTTTGTTAGAATCCAAGGGGGAGGCCCAAGAAGAATGTTGGATCAACAGTTGAAAACACAAGTTCATTGTCAAAAAAGAAGTCAACCCAACAGTCAAGCCAACCGTCATCATCTTTAACTCTAAAGGAAAGAGCTCTGTAATAGCATTTTATTTTATTAAAGTTTAATTGATATGTTATTCCATAGATCATGTTGTTTCTGTGCTCAGGTATTATTATATTTGTTTTTTAGGCAAGAAAGGGATTTTGAATCCTTCAGTCTGAGTAGACTGGTAATACCTACGTGAGGGTATGTCTATTACCTTAACATGTTTCTTTCTCATAATTTTTTATAATGATCTTCATTTATTATTTAAAATGTCACAAATGCAGTTGTCATCAGAAAGAAGAGTTCATGTAATTTCTGAGAGAGGTGCTAGTTCTAGCAACACTGGAGGGAAGAGGAAAATGCAGAAGGGGAAGAAGACTAAGGGTGCTTTAGGCACTCAAGAGAGTTTTGCTCGTAGATGATGGTTAACTTAGGTTTATTTTGGAGTATTGTTGAACTATGGATGATTAGAAAGGATTTACTTTTGTACTATTGTTGATTGTGGAGTATTGGAAGTATGTGATGTTGTTTTGGCACTCAGATTAAGCTATGCTGTTTTGGAAGTTCTCAGATTAGGCACTCCAGACCTATGTGATGTTGTTTTGGAAGTTCTCAAATTATTAATCACTTTGGAGCAGATTATTAATCAATTTGGAGAGTTGTTGTAATGTTTAGAGTGCTTTATCATTGTTTGTAATGTTGATCTCAGTTTTCTATAAATAATGTGTTGTTAAGTTGGATCTCATAAATTTCAAAACATAACAAAAGATTACACAAAAGAAAAGGACAATAACAATGAGATAAAACGCAACAATAGATTACATTCTTTCTTAAGTTCAATACATCCACAAAATGAGATAAAACATAACAATATTCAAAGCAACATTTTAGGTCTCTGCTCATGACCAGATTTCCCAACCAAACTAAGGAAAAAAATCATCATAACCATAATCAAGCAAAACATTACAACATTCATCTTCCTTTCCAGTTTTTGCATGAGACCTAATATATTTTTCATAACCAGCACGACTTCATTGTTCTTTCGAACGTCAACCTCAAGATCATTCAGTTTTTGTTCAAAGTCAATGTCACGGTCCGCAATTTCATCTTTTTCCAATGCCTTTCCAGAGTACAATTTCTCCACTGCAACCTTACGCCTCAACTGCTCTTCCAAATACTCTTTCTTAGATTTCAATTGCAGAAAACAAGATTTTTGGAACTGAGAAATTTCAGGATCAATCCATTCGAACAAACCGCAGTCCTTCCCTTCTTAAACAATGTAAACCGAAAAATTAGGGTTTTTAGAAATTGGGGTTTTAATTAGGTTTATGAAAATTGGGGATTTTGAAGAAAACAATTGAAAAAGCCGCGGTCATTCCCTTCCTAAACAGTGTAAATCGAAAAAAATTAGGGTTTATAGAAATTGGGGTTTTAATTAGGTTTATGAAATTTAGGGATTTTGAAGAAATTAGTGTTCTCACACAATATACGTAGCTCACCTTCCACGTAGCACATCTATAGAACCTTCTACATGGATTATCGTCCGTCGTGGAGGTATACACCTTCACTACCTTGGGATGGCGACAACGACTGTAACACCCCGCTTATCAGAGTAACTTTTTCGCAACTTTTACTTCAAAAATACTTATAAATCTTTCGAAATCTTTTGCGACTAACTCGGGATGCTACTCAAACTCATCTTCTCTTAAAATCCATTTATCTTTAAACTTTTGTCTAACACTTCTTTAGACATAAAGAAAACAGATTTATTTAAACTTTGCATTTAAATGTACCATATTCATACTTCTGAATGGTAAAAACTTAAAATCTTAAATTTATTAAAATGCAAATTCAAGTCTTAATGTGCATAGCGGAAATACTTGAAAACGTGATTAATTATACAGATTGTTTAAAATGTCCATATAAAAACTTGTCATAATCTGAATCCACGATCCAAACCAGCACTGCTCCACTCACACCTCCTCTTCGACCTGTTACCTGAAAATAAACTTATGGGGTAGAGTACTGAATAAAGATAATCATAAACCGATATCTAATCGGTAACCAGAAATCTGTTCTGGTACTGAAACTTAAACTTTTCTCTTCTCTTCCGATATCTTGATCGGATACGTGTGCACACTCTGATTGATATTTCTTAAGCAACTTAGGGCCTCCATCAAAACTTAGGATATACTCTGAGTCAACTGAATGCCTCCTCATCCCAAGCGTATAAATTAGAACTTAGGATATACTCTGAGACAACTGAATGCCTCCTCATCCTATATGACATCAATATCATACTCAATGTGATACCCACTCCGGGTCCCCACCTTTTTTCTTTGAAAGCATTTGAAAAACGATAAGTGTTGTACTGGGTAATTGTATCTCCAAGTTACATAAAATATAAACAAATATACTAAGTACTATACTCGTATACTCAATAAGATACTAGGATTCTTAACTTATCCTAATTTTATAGAAATTTAATAGAATGCTATTGCTCAAGTTAATACTTAACTTTTCTTGAACTTTTACTCAAGGACTATTATAAATCATGTCTTCAAAATCAAAGATATTGGCTTATACTCGCATGTCACTTAAATAACTCGAGTGTGAAAATAACTAAATTTCACATTATACTTGATTGAGTATTTAAACTCAAAACATGCTTAACTTTTACCAACATTATATTCATGATTTATAAATAATGAACTCATCTTAACTTGTATGGTAATAAATATTTCAACTTAATACTCATACAATACAACTTTTAATCATAATACTAAATTATGATCTTAATATGTGAGATTTAAAACAATCTTTATAAAAATTGTAAACTCAACACATGATGAAGAAGAGATTGCCCTTGCATTCTTGGACCGACATGATCGTCTGGCTTCTCTAGCTTAGCTATTTATTATTATCTTTTATTATTTCTTTTATTTCCCTTTATTTCCATTTTTTAGATAATAGACATTTATCTATTTTTCTTATTCCTTCTTGTTAGCCAAGATAGGATTTTTAGCCTATGAGGACTCTTTTCTTATTTATCTGTGAACTCGTGATGTGAGAAGGGAGATGATTGATTACAGAAATAAAATTCACGAGAGAATTCTTTCTCTTCTTCCCTTTATTCGTGCTTTTGCTGCGTCAGTTGGTATCACGAGACCAGACACGATCCACGATGCCTCCGAAGAGAAACACTGCCGATGAGCAACGGGATGCGGCGATCGAGACTCTCATCCACAGGAGCGATACGACGGACCGTCTCATGGAAGCGTTAACAGGGAGGATCGAGGAACTTACGATGGCCATCAATACTAACAATCACGGCAATCATACGAACTGTGGCCACGGCGGACGGCACGGGGGAGCCCGCGGTGGTCGCGGCCGGGGGGTTCGCGGGGCGTACCGCGACCGGTCTCCTCCTTCGTGGGATGGTGACGGTGACAATGACTACGACACCGTCTCCGAGGTCAACCCCTTTGGACATCCAGACCGAGAGAATGATGTTGCAGCCGACGAGAGGCGCTGGAAGTCATCTTTTCGCGTGGATATTCCGGAATTTACCGGCGGTCTCGAGGCGTCGGATTTTCTGGATTGGATGGCTGCGGTCGAGTCCGCTCTCGACTTTAAGGAGGTTCCTGCAAATTGGCGAGTGGAGCTCGTCGCTACTCAGTTTCGCGATAGAGCAGCCGCGTGGTGGCAGCAACTAAAAGCTTCGCGCAACGGCTCGGCAAACCAAAAATCACGGCCTGGGCTAAATTCCGGAAACATCTCGACCGTGAGTTCCTTCCTTACAATTATATGCGTACTCTTTTCATTCAATTTCAAAACCTAAAGCAGGGACAACGATCTATTAACGAGTATACCAAACTTTTTTATCGTCTTCAAACGAGGTTGGATTTGCGGGAGACGGTGGATCAACTTATCTCGCGATATATCGGCGGCCTTCGTTTACCAATACAAGAAACATTGATATTGTTCTCGCCGGACTCAATTTTCGATGCCCACCAGCGAGCCCTTGTGGTCGAACAGCAACTAGCCCGTCGTGCGCCGACTGCCCTTTTTCCTTCTCGCGCGGGTCAGTACAGCGTGGGGTCGCCGTTCGGCCGCCCATCAGCGGCCACTGCTGGTGGTTCATCGTCAGCCATCGCCGCCGGACGTGGCGCGGCGCCATCCCAGGTACCAGCAGGCAGCTCGCCGTCGACCGGGACAGACTCTTTTGCGGCGGCAGGTACTCGACAGGCCGGCAGCATGCGGTGTTTCTCTTGCGGTGAGCTCGGCCATCAAAGGTTGGCATGTCCTCGTAATTGTGGCGGCAGAGCATTATTCGCCGATGAGACGGGGGATTTTGGGGACGGTGTGCTGTATGATGCACCGCCCATTTTTTACGACGAGCTACCGGTGACTGAAGAGCATTGGTGTGGGGACGTCGGGCCCGCTCTCGTTATTCGGCGGTCCTGCTTGGCTCCTAGAATGGATTCCAGTGAGTTGCTGCAACGACTTCACATATTTGAGTCGACGTGTATTGTGGGCGGGAAGGTTTGTCGCTATATTATCGACTCGGGCTCTTGCGAGGATGTGGTGGCCAAGGATGCTGTGGAGAAGCTTAGTCTGTTAACTGGGCCACATCCACAACCATACACCCTTGCTTGGATACAACGCGGTAACTCCGTTACAGTGGACCGTCGCGTATTGGTTTCTTTTTCGATCGGGCCCAAGTATCGCGATTCGGCGTGGTGCGATGTCGTACCTATGGACGCCTGCCACCTCCTTTTGGGCCGTCCTTGGCAGTTCGACCGCTCGGCGACACATGATGGTCTTCTTAACACATATAGCTTCTTGTTTGAGGGTGTTAAGATTGTTCTGCATCCGTCACCACTACGCTCTTTACATGCTCCGGATCCCCCTCCCGTTGTTCTTCTTTCTCGAGCCGCGTTTGTTGGGGAGATGCATGAGGCTCCTTATGTTCTTCTTTTATTGGGTACAGACTCGTCTGACACACAGTTACCTCCTCCAGCCGTCCGACCATTGCTCGAGGAGTTTGCAGATGTCTTTCCAGAGGATCTTCCAGCTGGTCTACCTCCTCTTCGCGATATTCAGCATCAGATTGACTTGGTGCCGGGAGCCTCTTTGCCGAATTGCCCTCATTATCGCATGAGCCTGGCTGAGCACGATGAGTTGCGCCGTCAGGTGGAAGAGCTTTTGCAACGGGGTGCAGTGCGGCGTAGTCTGAGTCCGTGCGCGGTGCCCGCCTTGCTTATTCCAAAGAAGGACAGTTCATGGCGCATGTGCGTGGATAGTCGAGCGATCAACAAAATTACCGTTCGTTATCGCTTCCCCATTCCTCACCTTGATGACTTGCTCGATCAACTCCACGGGGCTACTATTTTTACGAAGCTCGATCTTCGTAGCGGTTACCATCAGATCCGCATTCGGCCTGGGGATGAGTGGAAGACAGCATTCAAGATTCGCGAAGGGTTGTTTGAGTGGATTGTCATGCCATTTGGTTTGTCGAACGCGCCCAGCACATTTATGCGTGTCATGAATCAGACACTTCGGGATCTCATAGGTAAGTGTGTTGTCGTTTATTTCGACGATATTCTTATTTATAGCCGTACGTTGGATGATCATTTGTCGCATGTGCGTTCGATTTTGCTTATACTTCGTGCTGACTCTTTCTTTGCGGCCCCTCGCAAGTGTTTTTTCTTGGTGGATTCTGTGTTGTTTTTGGGGTTTGTTATCTCGGCACAGGGTATTCGTGTCGATGAAGCGAAGGTGCAGGAAATTCGCGATTGGCCGACTCCTACTTCCTTTACCGACGTGCGTAGTTTTCATGGTCTGGCTTCTTTCTACCGACGTTTTATCTCCAACTTCAGTTCGATAGCGGCGCCCATTACTGATTGCATGACTGGCAAGACCTTCACCTGGACTCTGGAGGCCGAGGCGGCTTTCACTCTTCTCAAGGACAGACTCACGACCGCGCCAATTTTGGTTCTTCCGGATTTCTCCAGACCTTTTGAGATGTCTTGTGATGCTTCGAAGGTCGGCATTGGAGCAGTTTTGAGTCCGGATGGCCGGCCAGTTTCTTTCTTCAACGAGAAGTTATCCGGTCCTCGCCTTCGGTACTGCACTTACGACATTGAGTTCTATGCGGTGGTGCATGCAGTACGTCATTGGCGTCATTATCTGTTCCACCGTGAGTTCATTTTGTTCACCGCCGACGAGGCTCTTCGTCATCTTGCCTCACTGGATAACATTTCGGCCCGCCATGCATCCTGGACGGCGTTCCTTCAACAATTCACATTTGTCTTACATCATCGTTCGGGTGCTTCCAATCGGGTGGCCGATGCTTTAAGTCGTCAGGCCTTGGTTTTAACGGATATGCGAGTTGCCGTTGTGGGCTTCGACTTGCTTAAGGAGGTCTATGACACCGATCCTTTTTTTGGCCCGCTCTTGTCGCGTCTCCAGTCCGGCCCTTTCAAAGAGTATGTGTTGACAGATGGCTTCATTTTTTGGGGTGTGCGCTTGTGTGTGCCGGACTGTAGTCTACGGTTGCAGTTGATCGCCGATTTGCATGGGCAGGGACACGTGGGGCGCGACCGGTCTATTGAGCTCATTCAGCGATCTTATTTTCGGCCCACTCTGCGGCGGGATGTCTCTCGCTTTGTCGCCCGTTGCAGGACTTGTCAGGTGTCGAAGGGCGTTGCGTCGAATGCGGGCCTTTATCGGCCTTTGCCGATCCCTTCACAGCCATGGTCCTCTATCAGCATGGATTTTGTGCTCGGTCTCCCACGCACACAACGCGGGTTTGATTCCATTTTTGTTGTCGTGGACCGTTTTTCTAAAATGGTTCACTTTATTCCGTGCAAACGCACGGCGGACGCCGTGCATGTTGCTCAGTTGTTTTTCCGGGAGGTGTACCGCCTGCATGGACTTCCTTCCTCTATTGTGTCCGACCACGACACCCGCTTTTTGAGTTTTTTCTGGCGTAGCCTTTGGCGGCAGGCTAACACTCGTCTCGATTTTAGCAGCGCCTACCACCCGCAAACTGACGGCCAAACTGAGGCAGTCAATCGGTCGTTGGGGAACTTATTACGTTGCTTGGTGGGCGAAAATCTTCGCAGCTGGGATCAACGCCTCAGTCAGGCCGAGTTTGCCCATAACTCGGCTGTTAGTCGGGCTACGCGGCTTTCCCCATTTCAAGTCGTCTACGCGGTCCAACCGCGGGGTCCGGCGGACTTGGTGGCCCTACCGTCCTCCGAACCACTTGATAGGCGTGCGACTGATTTTGTGGCCGCGTTACAGCAAACTCACGCTACGGTCCGGGCGAACTTGGAGGCGAGTACAGCTGCTTATAAGCGGTATGCGGATGCTCGCCGCCGACATGTGGAATTTGAGGTTGGGGATTTTGTTTGGGCGGTGTTGACTAAAGACCGTTTTTTGGCGCATGAGTATAACAAGCTCTCCGCTCGAAAGATTGGGCCCGTTGAGATTATTGAAAAGATCAATCCAAATGGCTTTCGTTTACGTTTGCCTTGCCATGTGCGTACTTCTGACGTTTTTAACGTCAAGCATCTGGTTCCTTTCCTTGGTGACAACTCTGATGAAGACGAGATTCTGCGGGATTCGAGGGCGAATCCTTCTCAACCAGGGAAGGATGATGAAGACGAGATTGCCCTCGCATTCTTGGACCGACATGATCGTCTGGCTTCTCTAGCTTAGCTATTTATTATTATCTTTTATTATTTCTTTTATTTCCCTTTATTTCTTAGATAATAGGCATTTATCTATTTTTCTTATTCCTTCTTGTTAGCCAAGATAGGATTTTTAGCCTATGAGGACTCTTTTCTTATTTATCTGTGAACTCGTGATGTGAGAAGGGAGATGATTGATTACAAAAATAAAATTCACGAGAAAATTCTTTCTCTTCTTCCCTTTATTCGTGCTTTTGCTGCGTCAACATATTAAACAAAAACTTTGTCAAATTACTCATCACTCATATGAGAATTATTAATAAAAATCTCACTTTAACAATTTGATCATATAAGGAATATTCTTGCATATATACTCATCTTTACATATATGCCATCTTATTATCTTAACTCCTTCATTTCTCATCTTTAAATTATGAAATTTAACAGTCATATTCTTAACTCATAATTAGATATGTCATAATAATTTCATAATTTTATCATACATATATCTCAACTGATTCAAGTTTAAAGTTGTTGCTGGAAACAAGTACATAAAATTCAGCTTGCATGATAAACTTTAAAAATTCATATTTTGAGTTATACTAAACTAAATGACTTGATTCTTGATCCTATGTACTCCTCTTTTACACAAGAAATAACCATAGGAAGCATTTATTTCCAGATTTTTCATAGCTAGGTAAAAAGTTCATCATAACTGAACACATATGACATATATATGAGCTGGAAATAACTTATCTTCTAGCATGCTTATACTCATATAAAACTTTAATATCTAAGTCATATAAAGACATTATTAAACACTTAATATCATCTACTAAACATGTTAAAAAGATAGCATCTTACCTCCTTCTTGCTTGAAAATCTAAAGTTGCTCCTTGATTTCTTCGAAAATTAAAACTCTACTGTTTTTATTTTTATTTTTCTCTCTCTTTCTATCTTTTTGATGAAACTATGATGATTTGAGAAGATACTTGATGATAAACTCTAATTGAAATGCCTCTATTTATGGCCATGAATGAGCTTTTGATAGATAAAACTTAGTCCACCAAAGTGTAATAAAATTCTCACCAATTGTTGAAAAAAATGCTAACTTAAAGACTTGACAAAACTTTGTTGTGATTTTCTCATCTAATTCTCACCAATTGATGACCAAAATTTCGTGCTTAATCTGATGGAATTGATTCCATATATTATTGAAAAACTGTCCCCATTCATCATATAAAAATCTTTAGAAAAAAAAAATAATAAAAATAATAAAAATCATCCTTTTTATTTCTTATGCATTTTCTTTCAACATGGCTGACTCTTAAAACTCTTTTTATGAAAATTAGTGCTCATATATGGTCTTAGAACATGCTAAGAAAAATAAGAATAATAAAATTTACGGAACTCAATTCGGACTTAAAACGAACGTTTACCGTAAACCTGAAAATTCTAAAACTTAAATCTTTTACTCCTGGTTTTTCCTTCAATTTACTGAACATATTGCTTCTTAGAAGCTAATATAATGATCTTAGAATATTCTAACATTTACGGAACCACATTCGGACTTAAACTGAACGATTACCGTAAAAACCAAAAATTCTAGAAATTTCGGTTTCTCTTAAAATAATTTAAATAGACTATAGTATCTAAATAAATT